AGCATTTGGACGAGGCTTTCCTCCCCCGGGTCTGCCCCTGCCGCCAGCTTGTCCAGCTCACCAGGACATCTCGGTGACTCACCGAGTCGCTGTGGAGCTGTTTGCCTGTGCCCTGGATCAATACCGGGCTGTTTCCAGGGGCACAGCTGGAGCCATCGAACTCCTCCTCACCCACCATGCCTCCCAGGCTGGTGCTGCCGGGGCACTCCCATAGCCCAGGGTTCAGGTCCTGGGGATGCGTGTCCCTCCTGGAGCCCCCCCCGACCAAACACACCAACGAGGGCTGGAGTACGCCCCGCCTCGGGCCAGTCCTACTCACCAAACCATGCTTGCTGGTCCCCCTCCACCTCGATGGCAAGGCCGAAGTCAGCCAGCTTGACGGCGGCACCCTTCAGCTTGGATGCCAGCAGCAGGTTCTCAGGCTGCAGGAGGAGACAGGGGTTGGAGAGGAGTGAAACCCCGCCAGGGGCTCTGCTGTCGCGGGGGGGCTTCCCAGCACAGCATGGAGGAAGGTCAGGGCTCTGGATGTGCTACCCGATCGGTTTGTCCTGCGGTGTGTCGCGATGTCCACGGATCTTTAGAGGATCATGGACTACAAGGACCCCCCTACGCCCTCTCCCTCATGCTGTTTCACCCCGGAGCTGGTCTGCTCTGTGGCTTTCCAGAAGCCCTACATGGTGTTCCTCCCTGCTGTGTTTCAGCTGCCCTGGAGGACCCTTGCTCCACAGGGTTTTGCATCGCAGATGGGGTCCCCACATCCTCCCACAGGCCCTTCCCCTGCAGCTCCTACCTTCAGATCCCGGTGGACCACCCCCATCTGGTGGCAGTGCAGGACGGCCTCCAGGATCTGCTGGATGCAGTGGCTGTGGGAGAAAGAAGAAAGCTCACAGAAGTGTCCAGGGAGGCAGAGTTTACTTAGACACTTCTACTTGGCTGCATTTCATCCCTGCTGCCCCTCTCCCCATCGTGCTTCCCACCAGCAGCCCTGCAGCACAGCTCAGCGTCCCCCTCTACCGAAAGCCACACACCTGTGGAGAACAGCCATAACCCAGTAAGACCCACCAGAGCTGCTGGACACCCAACTGCGGTGAGCAGGAGCACAGGGGCTGCGGCGGAGCCCATGGGGTCCCCAGAGAAGCAACGCCGGGGAGCTGGGGTCCAGCGGTGGAGTCACAATGCCAGCCCAGATCTGGTCTCCAAACCCAGGCAAAGCAGAGGTGCTTCTCAGATGTAGAGCTAACCTTCGCTTCGGCCCCATTTCCCTGGCCTCCTCTGACACGGGTGGCTCTTGCTGCATCTGTTTGCTTTATATCTAGTTCATTAAACCCCAGCTCTGCTGCATGCGTGAGAAAGGAAGGGAAAAAGACTGAGGCGATGATCACTTCTGCTCCAGAACAGCTGTGTGCAAGGCAGAAGGTCTTTATTTACATGTATTTTATTTGTATGACACTAATAAGTGGATGGGTTGTAAGTGGATTCAGTGTGGGCAGCCCATTAAATGAGCTTTCTGCCGAGAAATAAGGGATATTTCCATGCAGACAGAGGTAGCGTAGAGCTTACCACCCCCTTGGACACTTGTACAGGCTATGCTTATCCTGAGGGCAAAGCCAAGAGGCACAGTGATATCTGGAGACTGGAGAGGGCCAAATCATGTCCCCCCAATAAAATGAGGCGAATGCTGTCCCCTGGCCTAGCTGCAAGGACCAAAAGGGTGGCTGAAATGGTACCCAGCTCCCTGCCTCTGCAGCAGGGTACCTGGAAAGTGCCAGTGGGAGCGTGGGAGGGAGCGGAGCTCCAGCACATCCTCACGCTCAGCCTGGCTTGACTGCTCCTCCTTAGTGCTCTCAAGTGGCAAATGCCAGAGAAACGCTTGCAAACGACTGTAATGCAGCTGCAAGGGGAAAGGGTGAGGGCTGCTGGGTGTCTGTGCTATCACGCTCCGATGCTGGGCTTCCTCCCTGCCAGCTTGGGGAACCCCGCTGTCCCCAGTCCGGGGAGCCCCGCTGTCCCCGCTCCTCTGCGGGGAGGCCAGGTGCGGGCTGTGCCATCAGCCGGGGGAAGGAGGATGCTGCGAGCGATGGCTAACAGGTGCCTGGCTCGAGGGGGGGGACCAGCCCTGCGGTAACACACGCATTTCTTGGCACAGGAGCTGAGTGAGTAAAACAGAGCTTTTTCTTTTTGGTTTTTTTTTTTTTGCACTACACATCTGGTTTATGAGTACGAGCTGCAGAGCGGCTGTAAAACACCTCCCAGCATGGAAGGAGCTCACGCTGCAGAAAGCCAGACGCATTGGAGCCTGGGAGGGAGCAGTTTGCGGGAGAAGAGGACAACTGCTACCCCCTCCGTGGCCCGGCGTGTGTCCGTGCTCACCTGGCATCCGCTTCGCTGTAGTACTCCCTTGCCACAATGTCCTCAAAGAGCTCCCCGCCGGTGACCCTGCGAGAAAACGGGGGGAGTCACGCTCCG